ACCCCCACCTTCCCCCTCCCTTCCTTCCCTCCCTCCCCAGCTTGGAGGGAGGGGATTGGTTCACGAGGGCTCGATGACGATCTGCCATGGATTAACTCGTTTACGGAATAATCTTGAATATCTTGGAACAATAGATTTCGAAAGATGGATAGATAAAGGTAAATATTTGGATTTCTTTGTAGACATTCGTTTATTTATAAAATGAATATTAGATTGAAATTTTTTGTTGTGATAAAGTGGTTTTAAACGAGTGATTTAAGAAATAAAAAGAATGAAATATAATTATAATTATTGTGTTTTAATTAATTTATACTCAATGTGAATGTGTATATTTGTTCATAATATATGTTACGAATAATTCAATTTTTCTATCTATGAAATGATATGATATAACTAGTTTAAGATTGAAATTAGCTTAGAGCATAATTTAATCGTACGTTTAATAGTAGATTAATAATAATTAACGATTGATATTCGAGTCTAGTTCGAGTTTAGTATCAATCAACTTAAATCGTTAATAGAATTTTAATTAAATGATGATTGACAATTAATATTTTCAACGATTAATAGTTATGATTAACCACAAATTTGATCGTTGATTGATTTGTTCTAATATAAAAAAAAAATTGGGATATATATCGTATTAAAATTAATTTTAGAAACTAATAATTAAACGGATTTTAATTTCACCGACAATTTATTCATTTTCGATTTAAATATATCACGTATCAATTTCATAAATCATTCATATCAATAAATTATTCGTTTCATAAATTCTTTCAACAAAGGAAAGAAATTGATACAAATTTAAAGAAATCCACGTATCCACGAAACTCAAAATGCGAAACGAATACGCAAAATGAATCGAATCTTACAAGTTTAATCGCGAGAGTCTTTGTTAAATCATCTCCATTTCCCAATAAAACACGCTCATCGTCGATTCGATAACGGGTAATCCCCGCCAGCTTCCTTACCTCGATTTTAATATCAACTACCCTTACCACTCCTGAAACGAATTTCCCGACAACGGAGATAAAATTCAACGACCTAGTGGAGCGTGGGAGGTCAATTAACGTCGTGGCAAAAAGGTGACCGACACCCTCGAAAGCGAAAGTGAAAATTCTCTGACACGATTTTCTTCTGTCATTCACTTGCAACTTATTCTTTATATACTATAACTATATATATAATATATATACCACACAAAAGTATTTATTTTTGACGTTCGATATACCTTAATTTCTAAATTAAAAAAATAATTTATAAGAAAATTTTAAAGAAAATAATAAATACCCTTCGTTTACGCGCACGTACATCACCATCCAATTTAAATTTAATGCACGCGCAATAAGAGCCAAATCCACCTATGCGCAACCGCCCCCGCGTTATAGCTCGTTGCTCGGGGCGACGTGGAAATAAAGTACCCCCGTGGTGTGACGGTATAACGCGAGACACCAACTATTAACTCATTAGTCGAAGTTCTTCGTATTATCGCATTCTCTTTGAGGCCGGCTCGGTATTCTCGCATTCGCGGGGTGGTTGGAGGGG